AACTTCATATATACGTATAGACCATTTATATATTCCTCCTCCAAATTTTATTGCTCATGATCCATAAATTTTTATGCTCTCTATTTATATTATCTTTACCTCAAGCCTTCTTAGCTCCAAATCTTTAATTCGAACTTTCTTTTCTACCATTAATATCACAACCAAGAAACTTATTCATTACTCCTACTTGAAATTGAATAAACTCTTCAATATTTCTTTTCTTTTTTCATGTCCAAACACATACTTTGTAGTAGACACATTAAAGCAAATCATAATCTAAAACCAATACAAGATCAAACTTTAAATTAATTGAAGAACGATGGAACTGGTTGGAGATTTCAACTTAGATAAACAAATATTTTCTTTCAAATGTAAAATTCTACATATATAAAAGAGCGAATGAATGGGGCTGGACATGTGTCAAAAATGTACATCGCCCTGTACGGATTTCCCTATTTTGTTTTCATTTAAAATCACGATTTTTCAGCACAACTATTCCTTCACCTTTTCTCAATTCACATCAATCTGACAAAGAAACGCCCTTTCTCCATTTTCCTACACTATCGACCATGCCTCTTCAACAAATCTGCCATTCCAACCGAGAAGGCTTTTAAAGAAATCGTCAATGAAATTGTTGAAAGCTTGAAGGAGAAGATTTTTTTCAGAGGCTCATCTATAAGTTAATTGTCCAGTGTTATAGTTTTCCAAAAATTTACAAAATAATATATAAATGTTGTTTATCAATCACTAAGTGTGTGCTGTGTGTGATTCATTTTTATCTGATTTTTGAATTAATCATCATTTCTCTTAAATTTTCATTTGATTATCGTGTTTCGGTTTAGGTTTGTATAAATGGGCATGTTATTAGTTTTGTTCAAAGATGGCTTCGAGATGATGGTGAATTCTAGTTTCTGAGATAATTTTGTAAGAACTATGCTATTGAAATTAATTTCTCTTACTTAGAAATTATTCAGCGAACGACGAGAAATGCTTGTAAATATCACACTTGCTTTGGTATTAAAGAGATACAGAAGGCCAATCTTGGAGATTGAATAGTGATTATTGGACGAGATCATGAGAAATGGATAGATTCTGCTGGTTTTGGGTGGACTCAAAGAGGGAGATTTGTTTGGGGTAAAATTCATCTCTGGAGTAATTAATCGAGTACCCAAGTTGTGCTCTTCTCCTACTTCATTTTAAATTTTAAAATCTATTTTTTCTTGCATATTTCATGGAAAACGTGTCTTCTTAATTAGGTCTAGAAATTGTGAAAATTTTGTAAATGTTGTATCAGGTTGATTGGAATGGACAGTGTTAGGAAAAATTAGTTTATAATATTGTTTATGTGTGATGACCTTTTGTAGGAATTAGAGTAGCACGCTTCTCCATGCTGCGTGGAGAGTGCATGGATAGTGCACGCAGCACTCTTCATGCAGCATGGAGCACTGGCACTCTCCGTGCTGTACGAAGTGTTCTCTCCGCACAGTGAATGCACTCTCTTCGCACAGTTAGTGCACTCTGAACGATTTTTGGAGAACTTTTTTTCCTTTTTTACAATTTTTAAATGGATTTATTGTAATTTTCATCTATCAAATTTTAAATGGATTAATTTGTCGTAGTCTCGCGCTACCTTGAGAGTTCATAAAATTCATCAAAATGCAATTACTAAAAATGGAGTTTCTCCATCTTGGATGGAAAGGGTCCATAAATTCCAACAGAGAATGGAGATTTTATTTTTCGTTTTTATTTTTTTTATTTTTTTCTCATTTATTTTTTATTTTTTAATTTGTTTTGTTCATGTTATAAATAATTTTTATAAATAATTTTTTCGATTTAAAATTCTTTTTAATTCTTTTCTCTTCATGATAAAATTTATTTTTTCAATTTTAATTAAATAATATTTATATATTCTTTATTTAATTTTCATAATTTTTTTGTTTAATTTGTTTTGTTTTTATTATATATTTTTTGAAAATTGTTTTAAAAATTATTTTTAATTATTTTCATTTTATGATAAAACGTAATTTTTTCAATTTTAATTAGGAAATAATCTTTATTTTTTATTTTAATTATTTCAATTTAATTAAAAAAATTTATAATAATTTTTTTTTTGCTTTTTTCTATTTTTGCCTGCAATTATTTTTTTCTTTAATTTGTTAAATCATTTAGTTTCCTTTTTTTTATTAGTATTGGATTGGATGAAGTGAGGTGGGGTGATGTGTGAAAATGGAGAAATATTGCAGTGAAATGGTGTGTGAAAATGAAGAAATAATTGAAGACAATACAACGTCGTTTTTGCTCCTACGATGAAAAAAAAATTGAAATTCTTTTTAATTATTTTCTCTTAATGATAAAGTTTAATTTTTTCAATTTTAATTAAATAATGTATATATATTCTTTATTTAATTTTTGTAACTTTTTTATTTAATTTGTTTTGTTTTTATTATATTTTTCGAAAATTATTTTAAAATTTATTTTTTCTTCATATGATAAATAATTTTTTGTTCGGCTTAAAATTCTTTTTAATTAAACTTTGAAAAGTTTGAAGAGGTTTTCTCCCTTTATGATTATGCCCATGTTACATTATTTTCTAATGTTCTAATTCCTTTTTTGCAATCTTACAATCGGGCTCCAATGACAACAAAATCAAGTCCTGAAAAAAGGTTGATACTTGAAATTGCACTTAACACTTTAAGTTATAATTTAAGATTCTGCATGATGCCCGTCAACATGAAAAATCATTTTTAATGCAATAATGTAGATATTGTTATATTGTGTATCTTGGTGATATTTAATTATTAATCATAGTATGGATTAGGGGCAAAGCTAGAGTGGACTGAATCATATTTTAGGCTGAGCTAATATATATATATATATATAGAGATATATATTCCGCATAAAAAAAATTTCCACAATTTTTTGTATAGGGAAATGCTTGGTACAAATATATGCAAATTATCAAATGTTCGTATGAAGAATAAAAAATATACAGAGAAAATTGACGAAAAGTAAGTCAATTTCAATGAATTTATTAATACCTTTCAAATTTATAAATGAAATTTTCTAAAATTTACATACACTTATTTTAGACATTAACCAATTAACGTGCAACGCACGTTCACTCACTAGTAATAAGAAAAAGAGTCTATTTAGATATTATTCATTAAAAAAGTGTAGACTAATGAAATAACAAAGAATTTGACAAGAAAAATACCATAAATTAATTCGTTTTGTATTAATCTATTATCAAATGTCTATATTTCTTAATCTATTTACTTTTCTTCAACCAATCAATTAACCTTGCATGCACCAAAGAATATAAATCATCAAGTTGCCACACAAGTAAATTTACAAATAGAAGAATATGAAGAAAAAATTTCAATTTATATACTACTTTGGAAAACTAATTGTAGAAAACATGATTATAATTGGATAATTTTATACTTTCATACCAAAATTTAAAAACATCCAGAAAAATAAAAAGAGGGCATAAAAATTAAAGTAAACAAAAAAAAAAAAATAAATAAAATCATCCATGTCAGTCTTACTGTAAAATACTGTAAAAGTAAGAGAACTTGAAAATGGTTGAATTTGGGAGTGAAAATTTGAGAATAGTTAAAGCTGAGAAATAAAATAAAAAATAAAAAGTCGGGTAACAAACATAAAAAATGGCAAAGAGAAAAAAGGAGAAAAATAAAAGAGAGAAAGCCAGGAGTCCGCTTAAAAACGAGGGAAAAAAGGGGGAAGGTCATGAATGTATTAAAAAAAAAAATTTACGCTTCGAAAAATATAAAACTTTTTTTGAATTTTTTATTTTTATTTTATATATATACATCAAGGCAGGCTATTAGGCAATCGTCTACCCATCTATAGTCAAGGTCGCCACTAAATGACATCAAACAATATGCACAAGGAATATGACTATAAGTCTATACCATACGTCTAGTCGTGACTACTAGTTCTCAAGTTATAAGAAATATGAATCAGACTAGTGAATCTCTACCTAGTTTGAGAAGTGTATTATCGTGATCATCGTCTCTACTTTAATTAAGAAAAGACACCTCAGTATAATCGTTAAAATTCTACTCTATCTTAAAAATTGAGACAATAACTCTTGACTCTTTATCTAATCAACATCTTACATGAATGGCATCAAACAAAATGCATCAGGAATATGGCTATAAGCTAACGCCATATGTCCAGTCATGAATTATGGTCCAGAGTGTTGTACGCTGGTTGAGCCCACTATGCGATAAGTTTTAGAACAATTCGATTAAGTAATAGTTGCAAAAATTTTAAAATAATTAAATAAAAAACTAGTCAACGTTGAATGTACATTTCACGTTTATTACAAAATACTTTATAAGCATTGTAAATGTAATATTTGAATATGCATAAATATTAATTAATTTAAAATAAATATCAGAGTATATATATGTGACAATAAAATGTTAGATTATTTATTTAATTTTCAATTAAGTAAAATTGGATATTAATTAGCGTAAGCGGACTTGAATAATGAAAAGCATGGTAAAGAACAATAAATTGCATTGTACGGCCACCCTGATGTTTCAGTGTCCGCCCAATTTTGCTGAAATTTTCTCCCAAATTCTCATTCTTCTCCATGAATCTTTGCTATCCCATTTCAAGGAATCGTGATGTGGTGTCACCTGCCTCAATCTTCCCATTTCCGTTCCACTCAATTCACGATGCTCACACAAAACTTACAACCAGATTGAGGTTGAGATTGGAATGCAACTCAAAGCCCATTAGAGTGGAATTGAGTTCCGAAGGCAATAATACCAACGTTATTAGCACAAATGATAGTTTAGAAGAATTCAATAAGAGTAATAATAGTATATGGAAAGAATCTGAGTACGTGGAAGTGATTGGAATAGGAAGTCGAACAGATGCGGCGCTTGACTTCTGCTCTGGGTCTCCCATTCTTTCCCCTACTTTGAGATTTTGGTATGTTCGATAATACCCTTTTCAAGTGCAGTGTTATATGATGACAATACACTGGTATTTGTGTGTACTTGCTTGAGCTTTCGAAATTGGTTTTATGTTTACTTTTACCATGAGGCCTATGGAAATATGCCCGTAATGTCTTTAACTTTTGACTTGTGGTTTTGTATCAAAGCCTGTGCAGGGGATCGAACTCCGGGTAGTTTTTTAGCTGGGAACTCTGTTTCTTGTACCAAAATTATTGGAATACCTCTGAAATTGTTTCTTCTATTTTTGAAGATTCTAAGTATTTAAAGCTGATGTTGAAAAGTGCAAAATTTTACTGGGGAAAGGAAGAGGGCTTTAGTAGATCAGAGGGGAGGAAGAAGCTCTAGGTAACAAACTATCAAGGTTTAACTTGATCAGAGACATGAAGTCTTCTTCTAGAGAGAGAGAGAGAGAGATTAATCGAAGACTGCAGTTCAAAATATATGTATTTTAGAATATGTTTGGATTTATGCTTGGCAGGTCAATGTTTCGAAGCATGTGATTATTAATACAATTGAAAGGTATTGGGGGATAAGAGAGATCATATAATTTCCCTGGATTTAATTAGACACAGCTTATAATTACTACCACAGAGAAGTAATTTTGGTTGGCTCAGGGAAAAACTGAGATAAGAATGGGTATGCCAAGATGCAAAAAATTATGGATGATACTGCAGTGACCATATTAATGTTATGGATGAGAGGAAATGCTGCAATAAAACTTATAACTGCTCTCAGATAAGAAATAATACAATGTTTGTTGAAGCTAGGAGTGAAAATAGTTTATCAAAACTATTTACAAGTCATCTGTTCATAAAAACTCAATGTCATAACCCCCAATGATAAGAAGAAAAAATTGAGAAATACTATTTTTTTGCTAATCTAGCTGAATAAATAAACTTCTGCACTTTGGACAAGACTTTGGTAAGTTGGGTTGGGCTTGTCTACCTCTTTTACTAAATTTATACCTATAATTTATTATTTTCAACTCCTGGCGTTATTTGTTAAAAAAAAGGAAGAAAAAGGAAACTCCTTGCATTATGGCATTGCACTGATTAACACCTTCAGTGGCTACAATCTTCTACTACTTCTTTGTACCAAACACTCCTTGGAAAAGTTTGCGAAGCTTTGTATTTATGGCATTCTCTAAAGAAGAGGCAGATGTGCTTTGTTGAAATCAAGTACCATTCAAATCACAAACTCTAACAAAGAGTGCTTCGTCGCGGATGTGCTGTGTTGAAATCAAGTACCATTGTAATCACAAACTCAACAATGAGTGCTTCATCACGGGAAGTCATCTTTAACACGAGTGGCTGTAACATGCAAGAAGGTTGATAATCACTGAATTCTATAAAACTAAGTTGGTTGTTTAATTTTCTAGAGAACCTAAGAGAAGAGTTTCCAATTTCGTATCGCATCATTTAGATATCTGATTCTTATTGAATAAAAGATACTGCTAAGCACATGAACTGATGCTTGAACGACAATGTTTCATGTGCCATTTGAACTTTTAACAATGTGTGGTTTTCACCAGCAGCCGAAGGAAACCGAATGAATTTCTTATGCGTGTGACAAAACTATAAATGGTTCTCATAGAGGAGATAGTGGTCATTGAGAAAATCCTGTAAAATTCTAGTTATTGCAGTGAATGAGGCCGATGAAGTAATACATAACATGATGAACAGCAATGTGAGTATGAGAATCTAAATGTGAACACATGCAGAGAAGAAGGCAAATTTCAAATTCTACAACATTTGATTTGGAGCGGTTTTTTATGTCGATTATTGCATTTGACTTAATCATCTGGTTTAACATATATTGAGATGTGTATGTGCGTGCGTGTGAGAGGAGGAGAGGGAGAGGGGGGGAGGTTATTTTCTTAGAAAGACTGTGAGTGATTCGATAGAGAGGTAATACGCACAGAACAATTACATGAAAGATGATGTACGTTATGATACAATTTTTATGCATTTTTAGATGGCCAGTAATTGTCTTGTAAAAATTGCTGTGTGTCTTCATAGGCTGATTTTCCTATTTTCTTTTGTTCTGAGGATGTGATGTTTAGGTTCTATGCCTTCTCAATTTTCATTGAGTTGTTTAATTTTGAATCATACCTTGCTATTCCTGCTATTAAATGTTATATGACCTTTAAGCCACTTGACGTAGTGAACTATTAGTCTGTAAGCTTTCGAGTTGTATGTTGTGTTGTTACATCTGTATCTTACAATTTGCAACCTGAATGTTTTTGAATGGTGATTTAACCCCCAGTACATATTTGAATTTGTCTGCTAAAATCCTGTGAACTGTATTGCAGGAATATTCTTGGAAAAGATTCGATGAAGGTGCAACTAAAACAAAGGTTCAGTACCCAAGGTTGAGTGTCTACACTTAGGTGTTCTGTTCTTATAGAGTTTTTCTTCAGTTAAACTTGTGTTTTATTTTCTATCCAGGGTTATTTGACTGACTAGTCTCATTGTTACACCTTAATCCAAAGCACCGTATAAAGTTTTGGTTATTTACTTTTATAACTGCTGGATGGTACTGAGTCCTGTGGATCTATTGGCACCAGAACAGAATTGACTGTTTGCTCAAGTATTTGGATGATTTGCTAAGTAATTAGGATAGCCACTGGGGTAAGAGATAGGTAACAGATAGAGTTCAAAGCCACTATTATTGCTGTATGGTTATGCTATTTGGAGCAAGCATAGGTGACTGTTCGAACCAGTTGTCCAAAATCTAAGACTAAATCCAAGTCGAAGGTCCAGGAACAATTTCTTTTCGGTTGCATATCTTGTTGATGGCATTAACTCTAGTATCACTTTGATAAATCAAAACTTGAAACCTAGTTTAGTTCATATCCTTATATCAATAAGAGCTGATAAATTTAAATTATGTAGTCATCTGTGTGTTCTATTCTGATTGAAAGAACTTTCTAATTGAATTCCAAATTTTCATTTATTTTTTTCTTAAAACATCAAATATCTATTTTCCTCTTAAAGATTGGCCCTTTTATCTTGTTCTTTTTTACGATTCCTTTTTTGTTGGGGGTGGGTGGGGAAGGCAATTCAACGATCTACTAAAAAGTTCCTATTTCTTATATTTCAATTTTTTTTTTTTACTAAGTCAATTGGGTTCATTTGACTGCACTGAGATGGATATGACTCTTGTGGTGAAAATGATGGGGAGCTGGCCAATTTCTACCTTTGTCACAGATTTTTCCTCCTCCATTTCAGTCATTTCAATCTTATTTCCCTGGCCATTTATGGGTCATGTTTAATGTATTTGTTTCACAGGCCAAATCTGTGACATATCTATTGCATTGTTAAAATGGTCACCACCAACCACTGGCACCGCACACATTTTTCCCTTTGTTAGCACTCAGATCTTTCTCTAACCTAGTATAAGTGTATAACAAGAAATGGTAACTTGCAGTCTACCGTAAAATATACACTTCTTAAGTTTCAAAACCCACCCACCACCTTTTTTCATTTTGCATAATGATCTCTGTCTATTTTATATTGGCTCTCTCCTTTCGTTTTTCTTGAAGCTTGTAGTGAAGATTAAATAGTAATCAGAAACCTAAACAAATAATCTTAGTATTGGACTGTCTTATTTACTGCCAAAGTTCTTTTGTGTTTCANAGATTAAATAGTAATCAGAAACCTAAACAAATAATCTTAGTATTGGACTGTCTTATTTACTGCCAAAGTTCTTTTGTGTTTCAATTTTCAAATGAAAAATAGTCTCTCCTGGTATCTCTTGGGGTAACAAATTGATTTTCTTTCACCAAAATAAATAAAAATGAAACTAAGAAGACAGAGAGACATTTTAAAGTATATAGACCCGCTAAATTTTCTGATTTGACCATTCAGAAGGTAGCTGTATGTTGTAGACTTCATTTTTTGTGTTATACTTGAAGATCATTGTTTATGTGGTGATACCTCCACATGGTTTTGTTCAAAATATTGTCCTTTTTTTGGCTATTACTCTTGTTTTCTCATTTTATATTATTATTATTATTTTACATTGTGCAGATAATACTCCAAGAACTGTGGAAGCTCCCTCAACACCACAGTCATGTCATAAAGCAGTTATACTTGTTTGTACATTGCTTCTCTCACACACTAATGATTTTATTATTTAATATTTTTTGCCTTTCAATTTCTTATTTTGAAGGGAAACCCCTTTAGACCGTATATTTCTGCATGCAGGCATGCTAGTTGAAAGAAAAACCATTATCCAAACACAATACCGATTAATCATCTTCTGTTTGTTTATCTAAATATTTTTACTAGACACTAGTATGCTTCAATTTTTTTAAGATAATATCTACACTACTGCACAAAATCTGCTAAGGCTTTACTAATTGGCTTTCATTCCAAAACTACCCTTATTTAGTTTATGTCTCAAAATGTGATTGGAAGTTCAAAGTCATGATAAGACTGGAGTTCTACAAATGTTCGATTTATGAATGTAATTTATTGTAAATTTCATTTACAATTGATTTTAAGTGTAAATGTTATCTCCAGTGTAAATGTATATTTATTATAGCAACTGCCAGTGTGAAAGAATTTGTACGACTTGTATAAGATTATCACTGTATAAATATCATTTATGCTGTATAATGTAGGAAATTTATAGACGTGGCAAGGTATTAGACTATTTCTTGTAAACTTCTATTATATGAATTAATTTAGGCATAAATTAGACTATTGCTCTAAACTTTTGGTTTTACAAGAAGGCTGTGCTTTTCTTACAAAATAAGAAGTGCATCGAATTTATACCATCTTGCCGTGTGTTATTTTCTCATTTGTTGGGCATTTCGCTTCGTATTGTAGTGGGCATGGAGAAACATCTGGAGTTTTTGAAAACATGTTAATTGATTCATTTCCGCTGCTTAAATATCTGTGCATATCTCTTCATCTAGTCTATTTGATTTTCTATACGTGAGCAGTGCAGCTTGTGGCACTTGCTCAAAACATGTTATTAGATTCTTTTCTGCTTCTTAAATATCCGTGCATATCTCTTCATCTTGTCCATTTGATTTTCTGTAGGTTGCCAGTGCAGCTTATGGCTCAGATCACGTTACAGCACTTGATATTCTTCGCAATATTAAGTCAGTAAATGGGTTTGTGGTTGGTGTTATTCTGAAGCCATTCAGATTTGAAGGACAAAAGCGTCAATACGAGGTTAGTCTTTTCCGTTAGCTTACTCATTTTGAGATTTCATAGGTCCATGCGGTTAACAGGATATGCCTAATAAATGATGTAATCTGGGTTACGTATTAATAATTTTAGAATTTATATCTTTTTCAAAAGGCGAAAAACTGATGTGGAACTTAGATATTGTAAAACCATGTTCATGCCAGTCTCACTTGCAGAGTTGCATACTATCAATATCTAACATTTTAAACAAAAATTGGAAATGTTGTGATGATTCCATCTGCAGGTCAATGATTTGGAGGACAAATTTCAAAAGCTTGCAAACTTGTGTATTGGTGAGTAAAATGTTGCCATAGAATACATTTGTTAGTATCTATATCCAGTTTGCTAACAAATTGAAGGAGCTTAAGTTTTCTTGCTTATCTAATTATGTTTAATCTCTTAGATTGCAGTCGCTATGATTTATTATTAAACACGGAACATTTACTTTTAAGATAATTCAAGAAAATTTGAAAATTGCCTCTCTTTCTTAAGGATGTGAAAGTAACAGTGATTTTTTTATCAGTAATTTAGGGACATGGAGGAACTGTATTGTAGTGTGCAATGGGACTTCTTTTTTTATTCTGGCTGTGCTTGATCCTGTTTCCAAATGCTACTAAGTACCTAAGTTGTCCAGGGTTTCCAAGCAAGTTCATTAATTCACTTGTCAAATGCAAAGATTGGAATTGGAAACTCAAATGCTTCTGTTGGTATATTTCTTCCAAAATGTACCATGAGCATTACTTAAAAAATCAACTTTGCTGCAAAAATCATGCCGCGATTTTAGTTGCTTTAAAGTTGATGAACATAAATACTAAGGCGAAAAGGAAGGAAATTTATAAAGGATTTTCTGCAAAAATAATATGCAAGCCGACAAAACTTGCTTTTGAATGTAACAACTTTGATAGGATTACTTCTAGTTTCAAACAGTCATTCAATTACTAATAGTTTGGCATATTACAGAATTTCTTATGTTATTTTATGTTGGCCACAGTTGTTGACACAGATACTCTTCTGGAAAATGATCTGGTAACTCTGGACGAGGCTCTGAAGACCTATAATAATGCTGTTCTGATGGCTGTGAATGCTATTTCTGTTCTCATATCTGTAAGCAAACTTTTATAGTCCTTATTTTGATGCTCAAGTTTATTCCCTTTCCAGTCTTTGTTTTATTTAGTAATTTGCATTCGTGTCATTAACAGGAGAAACACGTAAAGCTTCTAAATGAAACACACAAAGATAACAAAGAACTTAAACTTCTGGAGTTCAGAAAAGTAAGTTCTTTTACAATCTGGGTTTATAGTTCTGTTTGTGTTACCTGCTGCTATTCTTAATTCAGGTTATGAAACAAGATTCTTTATATTGATTAGTGCAAGTCACATCAATACTGCAGTCATTGGCACTCTTAGCAATCTTATCCCCCTCTCATCTTATTTCTTTGTTTCATGAAAATGTTGGACCTCATGGTTTCTGGGAGGAACTATGGACATGGTTCCTCAGCCCTTGTTATCCTTTTTTCTTTTTTCTTTTTTTTCAATGCTGTCCTAATTGAGGTTTTAAATTTCAGAGATTGGAGTCTCTTAGTTTGATTAGCTCGATTTTTTCCCTTTGTCTACTTTCTACATGAGGCTAAGGCTACACATTTACAGATAATAGATAGAGTTAAAGAAGCAAGAATTGGATTTGGCGCTGCTTATAATATCAGAAGTTCAATCCTGCAGGCTATATATGACTGCCCTTTCCTGGGTGTGAACCTTAAGGTTTGAACCATATAATTCTTTTTGGATATTGAGTTACAGAAGTTGCATGCTTTTTTGCCTGTTCTCCTACACGTTTCGTAGCCAAGGCTCATAGATTCTTTTCTTTTCGTAATATCATGTTGTAACTGAAACTCTTAGTCTAAGTTCTTCTGACTTTTTCTCAAGACTTAATGTTTTGCCTTTATTTTCATTTCTACTTTTGCACTCTGGCTTTACTGCTTGCATTTTTCTGGGCAGGACACCAATGGTGTAATACTATGCATCTTTGCAAGCTCGGGTGTTGTTGACTGCAGTAATGTGAATATTCTTTTGCATAATTTTCGTCTAACTACGCAATGCCAGGGAAAGATAATTATATCTATAGTTCATGAACCCAATCTAGAGCCTGATATAATTCTGACTACAGTAATTGCATTCGGGTAAGTTTCCTCATCTTCCAATAAATAATTGATGCAGTATATATTCTGATAACATTTCTTCTTAAACTGAAGTTCTCTTCTTTTAACCATGTTATTCTTCTGTATTCTCTTCTAATATC